GTCATAACGACTATGTTTCAATTGTGACAAAGTTCAGGTCCTTGTTATTAAAACATTCATTTCCTGTTTGTCGATATGATAGAAATCATTTATATGGTTAACTGAATTCTAAAAGTACGATCAGAAGTGACGTTTTTATTTAGTCATCGGTCTCAGGTGAATCATATCATGACTGATGCTTGCATACTTTTTCAGATTATTGGTAATTTACAAAATTCCAGAAAGCTCAACGAAGAGCCACACCTTTAGTGTGAGTTGAACAACGCGTCACGTGTATACAAAAGCGTTTCAGGAAAATGGTTGCACCTGATCACAGTTTTCCAGGCGAATTTTTGGATGTAAATGGTACTGGTACTGTCTGTATTAGAATGCCATGTTTTTAGGGAAAACCCGAAACCCTGGAGGTTTCTACCACCGAATTCCAGTCAAGACGCCCAGTAGTGTTAGGCGCCCGTAACTGAACACAAGAAATCCGAACAGACAAAACAGTGTGCTTATTGGAACCGGATTGACGATCTAATGAATTATTGTGAGAATACATCAATCGATTAAACAATGGTCTAAAACTAGGTCAAGCTGGCTCGAGGGCAAAACGGCCCGGAAGGGTATGGGTCAGTGTTGGCATGACCAACTATATCGCGTGATTGGACGACCGATAGGGACTGATGAGCGAATGTGTACGCAGCAATATTCGAACACCACTAAATTACGCGATGAAATACTTCAGTGATTGCAATCAAGGTTTTTTTCACTATCATTCTTTTGGATGAACGATAATCCTCGTATCTCGTATCGTGTCTCATTTCGCATCGGAGAAAGGCTTTCCTGTTCACAGACCCCGTGTGAGTTGGAAATTGTAAATAAATTTGTCAAATCACCTTTCAATTTCTTCATCAAATAATTATTGATCTTTGACAATATGGAATTCTCGGCAATTTTAACAGGTTGGCTCACTAATTTTAGCAGTTCTTGAGCTTTTCATGCAAGTGTATCGCCAGATGCATTTGCATGAAACGTTCATTAAATAGAAAAACCAAGCCTTTATGAATTTACACCATTGTCTTACGGGACAAAGCGTTCAGACGATCGTATCGAGTAATCGTGACTGATAACGTGATTTGGGTAGTAGTTTATGCGTGTTATTATTATTATTGATAATATACGTATTGAGGGTGAAGTAAGGAAAAATCCACAATACATGGTGAATAATACATTACAATATACAATGACGTGTTCATTCCACTGTGACTGAACTTATAATTGTGTAGGCTGTTGACCATCCATAGTGGTCCCTTTTACCGTGCGCCCAATCGAATATTTTATTCACATTAGTGATTGATGACGCTTAATTGTGATCTCTTTCTCTGTTTGTATCATTTAGTTTGAGATAAACTGGCGACTACCGTAGAGATAGAAAAGTGACAGTTGTAATTTGGCATCATGTCTGGAGGAATATTCTTGAGATTTGTTTCAAATACACATATATTTTCTCGGTCACATCCTCAAATGCACATTCCATTGCACGGTTATTTTTGTTGACTGGATGCATACCACTGAAGACAATACAAGTTATCTCACTCATTCATTACACTTCACACTTGTGCGAGTCCAGAGAGTGGGTCATGCACAACATGACACAAAATGTCCCGTGAAAAATATCGGTCCACGATTTGTTCGCCCAGGGGAACGCTACCAGGTTGCAAGTGAGCTACTGCAAGATTCACAACCGGAGCTTGAGGTTAGGAAAAGCCTCACCTATCAGGTTTTGATGTGGTGTGTGTGTTGTGTGTGTGTGTGTGTGTGTGTGTGTGTGTGTGTGTGTGTGTGTGTGTGTGTGTGTGTGAAANCCTCAGTTCATCGAGGGACCCGGTGGGAGAAAGAAATTTCGTAAAACACTACAGATTACTGCTTACAAACTGAAGTTTCGAAAACCTATCCCCAATCCCCGTACGCGCTCCTGATCCAAACTTTTCTCTGTCCACACTTCTTATTTTATGCCTCATCTATAGTGTATCTCTATGATGATTTTATGACAACTACTTCGAATCTTAGTTGCTATCAACTAATAAAGAGAAACGAGTAGCGGAACAACTGTTTCGCTGCATGGAAATGAAGTGAGTCTGTAGCAGTTTTCGACAGGCGAACGGATAAATATTTCGAGTAGATGTACCATGCTCCACATGCGTTGCACTCTATATGAAAATGACGCTTTGCCTTGAGAGATGGAAACCAACTCTACTGGTACTGTAGTTCACAGTTTTCTGTCTATAAGATACAAAACCCTATTGTATGGATATCAAGTTTGACTTTGTGACTACCAAATGCGAGAATGTACAATCGGTGTCGTGAGATTAAAGTCTTTCACTGTGGTTTATTTCAGTTGTATTATACCGTAGTTTCACTTTACTTATCCACTGTTATTGCCCGTGATGCTTCATTATACTTTATTAAACAGGTATTTATTGAAACTCGTGCAAAATGATGCCCATTTTGGAAGTACATTTAAATACCCATATAGATAGTTAATAAGAGGAAGAGGACAAACAGTAAAGCTTCTTCTGTTCTATCTTGGTAATTACTTTCCATATTACCCAAAACACGCTTATTTGCACATCACTAAAGGCTCCCGCCATTTGGGCTCGTACAGTGATATTTGTAGGGTACGTTTTAGGCCCTGAACCTTTGGTTTTAGCAAACATCAAATGCCCAAACATTAGGTTAATGCTACTTTCGAGTGAAGACCCACAGCGAGAACAGTAGCTGCAAAGTTTGTTACGCTGACAATTCCGAGTCCGTATGCAGATCCAACTGCCTGTATTAACAGAGAACACCAGGTCTCTAATCTTAGGAAGCCTACAATAAGCGGTTGGTAGTTTATCTTGTGGAATACGAACACCGGATGGTAAGCCAAAAATGTGTATGTGACCTGTTCCGTATTCTCGACAATACACTTTATTGCTACAAGCACGCATAAAATGATGTGAAAATTTTAGTGATTGTGATGAACGACAACTAGCTGCGAAATGTATTGACCAATTAGGAACAACGCATAGATTCATCACAAATTTTCATGGGCATCGGGGATTTTCAACTGTTCCGTTTATTCCCCATATAATTTCCGGATGAAAAGCACCTGTTAAATCTTGAAAATGTTTTACAACTGACAGAACGGTTGCAGATTACTGAATAGTTTGTTTGCGAACATTTTATATTTTTAGCCAGCATTTAATCAATTTGGTAATGCGAAAGATGAGACCGCCCTATGAACGCGCGTTCATTTGGGGTACAAATGCGAACGCGAAAATAATTGAACGCATGAACGTAGATTATGTTACCACCCACTGTTTAGAAAATCGTATCTAAGCAGACAGTTGCTTAGCCCCCACGCGAGGACATACGTGAAAAAACTGAGATATTAAAAAGTGGTTTAGCAATGTTCTACAATCGGACATGCAGGTACGCCTAAATCACTCCACCAGTTAGGTAGGGAAAGTTCCGAGCCGAGACAGTGATCGTCACTGAACAGAATCAGACAGACAGATGGACTGAGTGACTGACTGATAGACGAATGAATGTACGTTTGTTCACCAGTAGTCAACTGGTGCTTGTACTTTCTACAGACCGAGATTTGGGGGTTCAATTTATCATAAACTGCAAAAGTCGAGGACACTACCGGGACTGCCCGATTATGAGGCGAAATTAAAAATACCACATCTAACAAATCTGTTGAGGATGTGTGTATGAAGGGAGATGATTGGTTTTATCGGTTTTTACAACAACGTTGCGATACACCGTGAACGATTTTCTTCATATTGTTTTTTGGAACGAATTTGAGGTTGTGAATAACAATGTATGGTGGATTTCATCGTGTATGTAAAGCGTGAATAGAAAAGCTGAACGGAAAGTAAACAAAGCTGTCCGATTAGCAGCGCGAATCCATTGACCCTACTGAGATTTGAACCTGGGACCTCACCGATAGAACGCAAGCATACTACTCATTTGATCACCGAGTAGCTGATCGATCAGATAATTTTTTATTTTCCCTTTGCACGATGTTGCAGAACCCATATTTGTGATCTTATTGTGAGCAGCCCACATTGTGCATTTTAGCGCTAACCTCTGGAGTCATGAACCGGTTGGAAACATGCTGAATCTGACCGCTTGATGATATTATACAGTTGATTTCGTCGCGCACAGAGCAAACTCATTTCAGTCTTCAGGATTGAGGGCAGGGTGCCCGTGTAAGCCACATCACCTCTGGGTCGAAGGTCCGATCACAAGTGTTCGTTCCTCCATAGACCCTTCAGGTGCTCGTCCAGATGCCGTTTGAAAGCAGCGTCTGTCTTCTCTTCCACCACAATCGCTGGAAGGGAATTCCAGAGTGTTGTTGACCTACGCGAGAGTCGGTAGACTAACGGATTACCAACTGACTGAAGTTTCCGCAGCGTGAGAGAGTGCCCCCGCGTGCGGTGCTCTGTCCGTAAAGGGAAGTACTGTTGCAGCTCCGGGCCTATATCATCTCTCAGGATCTTCCTCAGGCAGATGAGATCTCCCCTGAGGCGTCGATACGCAATTGGGAGCAGACCAGTAGCCTGTTGACGACCTTCATAGCTGGTCCCGCGTATTCCAACAAAGAGTCTAGTGGCAGCACGTTGCACACGCTCCAACTTCAGCTTGTGGATCCGCTGAAGTATCACTTTGGCCTCGCTTTCTGCTCGGAGAACCACTTTCAGTGGTCGTGGAGAATTATCCTGGTGGGGTTTTCCAAGCCTGAATGCCGCTTTTACTCTGATCGATGCAGCTGGTTCAATCTCATCACCATCAAACAAAGTAACCATGTGCGACCTCAGCAGCTGCAGGTGGTGGTCCAGGCGAGCCTGGGCAGTGGTGGCCTCGGCCTCCAGAAGATTGACAACAATAAAGCACTAAGATCTCGGAGGGAGCTTCCTCTGTTGCATAGATTCCTGCAAATCGCGGGGCAACTCTCAACTGTCCGTGATATGTTATACGCACCGTGCCTGGATGTCGTGGACGAAGGAGTCGAGTCTGTCCGTGAGGGCGGTGCAGCAGACGATATCCCTTCCCTTTTTTTCGGGTGCTTCTGCTGTGGTGCAGCTGCAGGAGCTGCTTTTCTAAGTGGAGTGGAAATGACATTTTTCACAACAGTGGCCGGCGCTATGGGGGTTAGAGAGTTTTTTGGCAGTGGCAAGCTGGCAGGCAGAGCTGTTATCTTTGAAGAAGCAGATAAGGAAGGCCACTGGGTATGTGTGGGTTTCGAGGTAGCAGGTGCTTCAACTGTTGCTTTTGTCGCGCGCTCAGTTCAGCCCTGTCGTGGGGTGACCACATTTGTCGGTCATTTTGGTGGTTTACCGGGTTTCCGGATCGGGCTAGCTGGTGTGGTCCGTGAACTTAAGTCTTTTTCTTTGTCTCAAGTGTGGCGATTTTTAAATTCGCTCTTACTTCGGCTCCTGACAATAGCTTCTCGTACTTTTGTGTGATACAAGTGATGCATTTTACAGTAGGGATTCCCGCACATTCTGTACAGAACCATATACGTTCTGGCTGAGTGGCTAACTGTTTTGCCTGTTTTACCAAGAGTTTGGCACATGAGAGGTGAAAGTGTTTTAGGCAGTGTGTGTAAAATATCCCCGTTTTAAATTCTTTCTTACAACTCCATAGGCCGCATACTTCCGATGCCATCGAAAAACTTGGTGCGGCACTTGTTGATATTATGCGAAGTCCCATTTTTGCACTTAATCGAGCGGGGAGACTGACTAGTTGGAGACTAGGGCTGAGATTAACGAGATGTGGTGCCCACATCAAGCTTGCAACAAGAGGTTGTGCTAATGTCATGTATAGGCAAAATGATAAACAATCTGACTCGATACCCGGTGACTGAGTGAGCAGTACGCTTACACTCCACCTGTGTGCTTCTTGGTTCGAGCTTCTTTTGGGTTGATGGTTCCGTACCCTTGATGAGACCCAATCAGGTCAAAACAACTGTCCAAGTTGTCCTAGCTTATCATTCCACACTCCATTTGCTCTTTTGACCACGAACTCCCCTGTACAGCGGGATCATTCACTGTCGTGTATTAAAATATACCGAGGTTTCTCAAAGTATCCCTGAGCTGCAGCTGGACTGATTTTACAGTTGGAGCACAGATGTCATGGTGTGTGAGAGATTCCATGTGCTCCGGGTTATGACAACAAAACAAATAACGTATACATTCTATCAACGAAAACTTAACTAGACGTTACCCGAGGCAGACGTTTCGAGCTGGAGCGAAAGAGATCTATATATGTGATTAGGCTGCTATACGGATCCTTTTCCTTCTACTCTGGTACATAGATGAGCACAGTTCCATTATTTGTGGTTCTCAAGTCATGGTCTCCAAGACTGGTTTCGGTACTCTGTATACGGTTGAAAATACCAAATTAGCATCACGCCTTGGCAAAAGCTTGACAATACAGACACTTCTCAGATAACGCACTAAGCAGTGAGTCATATTGTAAACGCTTGAACCGTTTGGATGCCCGTATATAACAGCATCTTAATATCTTAAGTTGAATGTTGTCCATGACAGAGCATTTGGGTGCTGTGTTGGACACTCCGTTTCCAAAAAAGTAGCGTTTTGAGCAAACAGCAATATTCATGATGCAAGACCATACGGTAGGCTGTTTATAAAAACCAAACTAATAAAATACAAAGACGTAGTAGGAATCTTCGTGTTGATCTGTGTGCGGTAAACCGACTAAAGAAAGATAGCAATTTTTCTGAATAACAAAGGAAGTTCCAATTGACTATCCCTTGGATTTTGAGAATATGATTGCATTTTATCTGGACCTAGAACAAGGTTGCAAGATGATGTCCGTGTATGTATGCATGTATGTATGTATGTATGTATTTATGTATGTATGTATGTATTCATGCGTGTATGCACGTATTGCATTGTATTGCGTAACTTTCGCAAGCACAGAAATTGACATATCACTTAGAAAGACTGCTCACGCCAACCACACCAACCCCCTGTATGAACCCATTAGTCCAAACATTGGATTACAGAGACCATAAAATAGCTTGTGGTCCAAGGTTAAGGCGAAGTTCACTTACTAATCTTGCTTCCTCTCTATCTGTTTGTACATGTACAAGATAATGCATAGGTGAAATTGGGTGAATATTTGTATGAGATAATGTGTACCGAAATTCTGAGTGTGTGAAGGGAACGATAACATGTTAATTCAGTGTGCAATGGGTGGTGGTTCCGGCCCGCGTGAATCATTTTTGTAAAGCTAACAGATTAAGTCATATGACGATGTGAAAGTTTCGCGATGAACTCATTTACGGAAATCGATGAAACGTGAATGATGGTGGTTCAAAAGTGATGTGAGACTTTAAGCCAGGGAAATGAGGATTTGGAAATCGCATCGATAAAAACCAATTGAAATAACTGGTTGGTAATTGCGAGACCGTTTGAGATTTCGCAATGCAAATATCTGGATAACCGTTCATGGAGATGTTGTTATTGGTGACTGACTTTGGCTTTTATGGATGTTGAACTTTAACAAATCAGATGTAAATGTGAGTTGATCAATGGGGTTGTCTATGATAACCACAAGGTAACTGACAGTGATCAGTCCAGATAGAGAAGGGTTTTTTGTTATTTGGGGTCTATAAGGAAGAAATCACGAAATAATTTACCACACTCACGTGGATTTAAAATTTGACCCATTTGAAAACGCAGACTGCCCTCCTAAACCACCCAAGGGTTTGATCGTTTGCTCACATTTAGCCACATATGCTTTCTTTCGGTCTTGATACAACTGAAAGCATCAAAGCTTAATTCGAGCAACATTATCCGGGAAGGAACGAATACCCGTGAAAGAAGAAGCGGGTTGACACAACGCAACGTGCATGCATGCAAGGGCGTGCCCAATGCACGCATAAAGTTTTTACTACCAAAACAATTGACCCCGAAAGCTTCAGCAGTGTCGGGGTGGGTGTCTTGGGTTGTGGCGGGTCACGCTTCCCTTGCACCTGGCTAAATGCTCCAAAAGAACCAAGCGTCTCAAACAACCTCCGTTGAAGAAGCCCTAATCACTGCCTTCTCATGGCGAAGGTGTTGCCCACCAAAGTGAGATGACAAAAGCCGATTTCTAGGGCTATAACGGGGTCGATGAATCATTGGCAATTCACCTAGAGGAGTTGGCTAAAACCTCGGATTACAAACCGACCAAGAGAACTTGTACGGACCACACACACACACACACACACACACACACACATTCTGGGTTGTGGCAGTTGTCACTGACTCGATTAGGCTTTGAGGTGTATTGGGCACCTCGGACGCTTGACATCGTTCAAAGGGCGTACAATCCAACGAACTGGACACGGCCCCCAATGGATTGCAGTTAGCACACATCAACCCGCCGCCTTATGAGTCGGGCTTTGCGCAGCCGAAGGTTCTAGTTACGGACTTCCTAAAAAGATCCACCTGCTTTGATCTGGGCAACCTAGCAGTATCGCGCCCTCGAGCAAATCATGGACCGTTTTTATAAAGATTTGCACCGTGATTTTTTTGGCAAACAGTCTGAACTTAGACTCAAGTGAAAAGAAAATTAAAAAAATGAAAAAGTTCGCAACTTGCTTGCTGGAATCCTACCATCAGAGCGTCATTTCTGGTGACTGATTTTGCAATCCTATATTTACCCAAAGGAAGTAGAGTTTTGATAGATGATCGTATTGATGTTTGGTTGTGTTTAATAATAAACCTGCTTTCTTGATGTCGAAGTAATTGGGGTAGTAATTTTTGATATCGTTTAGGCGAGATCAGGCGTGCATAGTAAATGTGCGACTTGAAAGACGATAGCAATGTCCGCCCTTCCCTACCATGACTGATGCATGTGAGGCTGTTTTGATGAATGAATAATTGCGATTGTTCAAAGAAATTAAATGAAAGTGAATGTGATCACACGCGGAACACTGAAAGCCATCATTTTGTCATTCGTATACTGGGAGCATTATTGATCCCGAAGAAGACCTGATCTGTGATGCCCACCTTTTTCATCTAAACCATAGAAAATGGCTTTCATCGATCCAAGTACCAGTGTTTCGTCTTAAGAAGCATGCAATTGCAGAGAAAAGTGTGGTGATCCAGGTCTCCGAGACAGCAGCAATTAAAGAGGCTACATGTTAGTTTCTGGACAACGAAACACTAACCAATGGTATCGGCCAATCAAAGATTATGCAGTTCAAACAGAATTATTGTGACTCGGAGAGCAAAAACGGCGATTGGGTGATGACCATTTAACCAACAGTATTATTATTTGAAAATAATTAATCCCAATGATTTCTTTCAATAAGCGAACTGCCACTTCGTGGCCTTCTTCCTGCATCTCGATGATGGGAGAGTTCAGTATACGAGTGCCAGCACGATTTTATTTGCGTTTGTTAATTACGAATCGCGATTTGAGATTCGTGTCTATTCTGATCAATACACAAAGGTAAATCATCAGCATTGGAGAAAAGCGAATCGTCATTGCTGTGTGAATAAATCGTGTAGATTTTTCTAATGACTGAACACTGGAGGAAATCACTTGGATGGATTAACTGCAAAAAGATGGGACAAACATTACTTTAGGCTGTTTGGGAAATATATGCCCTCGTGGGGCTGAAGAATCAGCGTCATTAATCCTTTCGGTAGCTTACATTCACATCAAATTCAATCGTTATGATCCGGGACAGTTGTAGCCGGGTGATGAATCAAGGAGTCTGTACAAGTAAAATCCAGAGGAACGTAGTCATGGTGTTATCCTCGTGCTATTCGGATCCAGTGGTACACGTTGAATATTTTGACGGAATCACACTTCGACTGATCTGGAATGGATATAAACAAATGCTGCAGCATCAAGCCTCAATTTGAGCTCGAATCAAACTAAAATATGAAAAAATTACAACTCGATGCCTGATTAAACGAACGTGCTTGGTTGAAAAGGGTATTTTGTTTTGCATTCACGCGCACCATTATTTGTTTATGTGAATGCTATGCACTTTTACATATCCCCCCAAGGGGAACATATACACATGCGCGAAATTTCGATCTGTAACGTGACCGTGGATGAAAGTAATCCCAACACTACAAGTTCGATCGAACAGAGCCGGAAGAAGAAAAACAAAAATCAAACAGGCGATCGATTGAATCGATCTGACACGAAAATAGACTGAGAACAAAGTGCAAGTGCAGATGCAGTATGGTGAGGGTTAGATACCCAGTTGGGATGGAAGCGAAAGCAATCCGAGTTTGCTTCATTGCTTCATGGACACGTGTGCCGTTACGATAATTTTCAAATATGACCAGGGAGTAATCAGTCATAAATGAAAGGACGAGGTTTGAAAACGGAACAAACAAAAGAACGTTCCTAGTTGCAAGATGAACATCGAAGCTGATCGAGCAAGTTTTACGGAAGGTATTTGTGATAGAATTATTCGAAAGTTACGCGT